AGACAACTAATAATATATATTATTTATTATATATATATATATCTATATATATATATACATATATTGTGATGTATATATATATATATTGTGATATACATATATTTAGATATATATATATATATATGCGAAATATACGGAAGCAATGTCTTTGCGATACAGTAAACCTTCAAATCATCTCTAACGCCCTATTCCTTATTACAACCTTAAACCCCAAACAGCCCTAAACAGATACCTAAACCCTAAGCCCTACACCCACACCCACCTTCACCAGGTGCCCATTCTCCTCGCGGAACAGACTGGCCGACACATGCACACACGCCTGAAAGAACAGCCCTGGGTCGTACACAGGCTTCTCCGCATTCCCAGCCTTCTCAACCCTACCTACACCCCCCAATCACCCCCCCAATCGCCCCCACATGATGCGTGAGTGGGCGCTCACCAGCCGTAGCGGCCGCTGTGTGTGGGCTGGTGTTGAAGACGGTTTGTCCCAGTTTGGCTAGGACATACGCGTCTTTGACTGTGCATTCACGCAGAGGCCGTTGCAGACACATGCCATCGAGAACAGTGCGCAGGGCAAACGGCCCCAAGCGAGCGATGAACTCGGTGTCCTGTTCGGGCAGGGCTGGAGGGTGGATGTGACAGGGGATAAGGGACGTATGGAAACCTCCTATAATCGCAGGAATACGGGATATAACCATGTTTGTGTGTGTGTGTCTGTGTGCATGTGTATGCAGGCATACATTGATATGAGTATGAGCACTACGTTGATATTGGTGTGAGCAATAACTTCCCTAAGAGTCCTATGGTCTAGGCCTGGCAGGTGATAAGGACCCATGGAAGACTCCAAGTCGCACTAACAAGGTATATACCCATGTATGCGTGCGTGTATATATATATGTATGTACATATAGGTATACGTGGGTATTAAGTGTGAGCAATACCTTGTCTGCGAGGTCTGTGGTGTGGGCATGACAGATATTTGAAATAAGTATACACAAACTGCTTATAGTCCCGTGCTTGTTTGTACTACTATGGTTGCTCAGGATATATCCGTTACCACTAACTGGACCCTCATTCACTGGTTGTTAATGGATGGCTCGTAACTTGTGGAGTATAGCTAGGAGGTTGACTAGTCTTTGTACTCGGTATCCTATTCGTTACATCCTTTCAGGGGATAGGGCCTAGGGGTGAGGGTTTAGGGTTTAGATTTGAGTTTTAGACATCCCTTATTAAGATGCTGAGTATGCTGGGTGGGTCATAACTTATACACGTCTCATGTGACCTCTTCCTCGGCTTCAGCCGGATATTTAAGTTTCGGTTGCTTGTTCTGCCATGTGCTTATTGCGGCATACTTATTCAGTCATAGCTAAATACACAGCACATAACGGGAAGCTGATGGCGCGGGATGGTTTATAATTAGTATAGGCCTGATGTGATATTTTCTCGAATTCAGCAGTATGTGTTGTAGCTACAGTCTTATGTGCGCATGCTGCCATGTGTTGAAATTGCCCCATGCTGATTCTGTCACGTGTTTAGTCGTCACATACCGAGTGGTTTGTTGTGTGGGGTGTCCTTGAGATCGTCAAAGTTTGTTGTGAGCTTGTCCCTTAGTTCCGCCATCAGATCGATCGTGGCTTGGCCTCGGTCGCCCGTGAACAGCAGAGCACGCAAGTACGCGGTGAAGATAAGCGGATCTAAGAGAAAGAGAGTGCAAATGAGGCGGATGTTTTAGCACCGTGGCTCTTTCACTCGTCCGCAGAGTACAGGTGTTGTGACACAAGAGAAAGAGAGTGCAAATGAGGCGGATGTTTTAGCACCGTAGCCCCTTCCCTCGTCCGTAGAGTGCAAGTGTTTTGACATAAGAGAAAGAGAATGCAAGTAGAAGAGGATGTTTTAGCACCGTGGCCCTTTCACTCGTCCGTAGAGTACAGGTGGTGTGACATAAGAGAAAGAGAGTCGCAAATAAAGGAGGATGTTTTAGCACCGTGGCCCTTTCACTCGTCCGTAGAGAACAGGTGTTGTGACATGAGAGATTGCGAATTGCAAATAAAGGAGGATGTTATAGCACCGTGGCCCTTTCTCTCGTCCGTAGAATAGAGGTGGTGTGACACAGATGGAGTTATATCTCCGGTTCTCTAGACGGCGCGGTGATCGTCTGTGCGTGTGATGGTTGATTGCTAACGGCGTACCCACTTCTTGGGCTAGCCCTGGCCGTAAATTGTGTCCGCTTGGTCATGAACTGTCTGAAAGAACTATCTGCTTAAATGCCCGCTCATAGTAAAACCTTTGAACGTCATGAAGACGTTTGCTATGATCGTGTCTCTTATTTCTTGGCGGGCGAGTCCAGAAACTTTGCCCGTAGGTGCCATGCGATGAGAAAACAACTGCCAGTTTTGACCTCTCATGAGATAAATAGCCCAAGACCGTTGCTATGGAAGCGTATCGTATTCTCGGTAGGTGAAATATCGAACTCGATTAAACTCAGTAGTACAATGTATGTGTACTCCTAGTAAACAACACGCAAGGACGCACGCCACCAAAAACTACCATGCTACCACCAAAAAGTCCCCAGTTACACCTAAAATTCCCCAGTCACACCTAAAAGTCCACAGTGACACCAAAAAGTCCCCAGTTACACCAAAAAGTCCACAGTTACACCTAAAAGTCCCCAGTCACACCTAAAAGTTCCCAGTTACACCAAAAAGTCTACAGTTACACCAAAGAGTCCGCAGTTACACCAAAAAGTCCGCAGTTACACCAAAAAGTCCCCAATTACCACCAAAACGTACCGTATTTCTCGGTGGGCGAGTTCTTGAACTTGTCCCAAATGGACTTGGTGAAGTATGACGTTCGAGGGGGAGGCATGGCGCGTGCGGCTTTAAACTGTAGCATCCACGACCGTCTGTCGGGCGCTACGTTGAGTGTATCCATGAGGGCCAGGGCTTTGAAGGACTGCATAGACGCATGGCTGTGCATGCACAGATCACATATGAGAATAGGAAGGGAGAACCAGGCACAGCGACCACACATGAAATGCTACGCATGCATGCACAGATCACATATGAGAATGGGAAGGGAGAACCAGGCACAGCGACCACACATGAGAGAATGAATGCTACGCATGCATGCACAGATCACTTATGAGAATGGGAAGGGAGAACCAGGCACAGCGACCACACATGAGAGAATGAATGTTACGCATGTGCGAATGGGTGTACATGTGTGCGTGTGGAATGACAGACAGATACATGAGGTGGGACTGTAGTGATAGTGTACAACTGCGAAACCACAACACGCACATGTCAGCCATGCTTGTATACATGTATGTGCTTATAATATTTAAGTAATGCCTGTATGTATGTGTGTGTTCACAAACATAACTGCGGGCGTGAATTGTATGGCCACATGTACACGTACTCGGCCAACCATAATCACTTACTCATATACATACGTACTCTACCTGCATACTCATATACATACGTACTCTACCTACATACCCATATACATACGTACTTGACCTACTTATTTATATACATATGTGTTTGTGTCCCTGACTGTTTGAGGGGTGCCTTTAGATCTCAATAGCGGGATGGTGTGAGTTTTTACGTCTTTACGCTGTGACTAAGATTTAGGCTATATAATAAAGAGTCAAGTATACGTGCGGTATCTCAGACATACTACCTACCACCACGTACTAATTCGGGGGGTGCCTTCTACCTACCACCACGTACTAATCCGAGGGGTGCCTTCTACCTACTACCACGTACTAATCCTAGGGGTGCCTTCTGCCTACCACCACGTACTAATCCGAAGGGCGCCTTCTACCTACCACCACGTAGTAATCCGAAGGGTGCCTTCTACCTACCACCACGTACTAATCCGAGGGGTGCCTTCTACCTACCACCACGTACTAATCCGAGGGGTGCTTTCATGATGGTGTTGAAGTGGTAGGATGTGCGTGTATGCGTCATTATAGTGCTACAACACAATATGGAACACCATATGACTACAACCACACACATCCAGTCAGTGCTAAGACAACCAACCAAACACATCCCAACCCGTGTGCAACTACACACATCCAGTAACAAAGTCCATATGCATCACTCACTGCTCCAGGCCTGCCTCCATGATGGCGTTGAAGTGGCCAGGTGTGAGAAGGCCTAGGTTTTGTCGACTGACTAAGACCTCTGTGGCGCTTTCAAAGTCCGCGTTCATCAGATGCAGTCGCAGTAACGAGTCCAGAGCTACTGTGCTTGTTCGCGACGAGAAATCGTGACACAGCTGTGGGTGATTGGCGGATACGATATCAATTTGGTGTTGAGCGTTTGGATTTGGATTCAAAGTTATATAGGTCTGTGTTCAGAGTGAAGAATTTATAGTTTGGACTGGGATGACAAGATTTGAAGTTAAGGTTTCGGGTATATGTTAAGGGTGAAGAATTTATAGTTTGAATTAGGATAGGAGTACAATTTAAGGTTTGATATTTATGTTTACGGTGACAGGATTTTTAAGATTTGAGTGATGGGTTTATGGTTCTTCAAAAAATGCAACATACCATACAGAGAGTCGACGGAATTTGACAAACAAAGAAAACTTAAGACACAACACATATGTCCTCTAACGCAGGCCACGCATGACCAGGATTTGAAGAGTGGCAAGTAGAATGCGAGAACATGACGGTTGTTATATTAGATGAGATGTCGCAATCGGTACACGGTCCACACATATCCACATATACTCATACGCCACTCAGTATGCCTACATCTGCGAGCACATACACAAATACACTCTCCATAATGCACTGTGTAGAGCTAGACTCACCTGCTCGGCTGCATATACGTCCCCGCGTTTCTCACAGATTCGTATTATGGTCTCATACGATTCCTTGGAAGGCTTAACTCCGGATGCCTTCAGTCTGTACCAAACACCCAAAGGGTTTAGCAATTGCAAAACAAGACGAAACGATATTGCTCACTACAAATTCGGTTCATACGCATTTGAGAAACGCCTGTGTGAACATGCGCGTGCGAAAGCTATAATATATATATATATATATAAATATATATATATATATATATAATAATATATATATATACATATTTATATAATACTATTAATATAATATATATATATATATATATATATATGTATATGTATATATATGATATATA